CATCTAGCAGACTAAGTGGTTCCACAGGTCAGTCCTGTTCCTCCCCGACTCTGAGGTCCTCAACAGCAGAGTGGTGTCCTCTCCTTCTCCCCAAGCACAGCCTGGGTACAGAGCAGGAGAGACTGGAAGTCCCCAGGCAGTGTCCAAGGCCCATTGTCTACAGGAGGCCAGCTCTCTGTCAAATGAGGGTCTCGTTAGCCAGGGACTATGGGCCTGATGAGGTGTGCCTGCTGCCCTAGGCCACAGGTGTGGGAGGGGGTGAGAAGGGAACTCCCCTGTCCCTGCATAGGCTTGGTCCCAGTGACTGTCTCCCTTTTGAACACTGCTTCCAAGATGTGGCTGCCAGTCAGCCTGGGCCAGGGCACCTGCTGTGGGCTTCCAGCACCTGCTTCCTCGCACTCAGCCCCCGACGTCTGGCCTTCCCATTGCCTGAGCTCCAGGTGGGAACGTGACCAGAGTGGGCCCATCTTCCAGGAAGGCCTCCCTTTGCCCACGGTGCAGTTAGCCAGTCCCAGCCACTGAGGGAGGGCCGTCTTGCTGGCCCTTTCTCAAAGCATATGGCTTCACCTCCTGGTCCTCAAACCCCCGTCGTGCGCCTCCCTCTGCCTGCCCTCTTGACTCTCCTCCTCCCGCCTTTGGGGTCCTCCCTCCGTTTTAAACTACTTCTTATCTCTTGCTGGCAACTCCAGTGTCCTCTGGCTTGCTGCTTCGCGCCACACAGCACATGGTGTGCAGAGGAGAGGGCAAGGCCACTCCAACTTTTCCTCCAAAGTGGAAGTCACCCCAGGGGCTTGGAGGGGACCCTCAAGAGGCAGGCCCTCAATCCAGTGTGCCTTGCGTATGTTTCATCGTAAAGGTAGACATCAGTCTTAATATCCCGTACGATTCGTATTTTATACAAAACCATGTTTGAGTGTATATAAAAATATCTTAGATGACTTAGTTTTTGCACTGAATCTATGAATAAAATTGATGCTCTAGGACAGGAGTCTGCAAACTTTTTTGGTAAAGTGCCAGAGAGTAAATATTTTCATCTTTGCATGCCATGTGGCTCTGTGACAGCTCTTCGACTCTGCTCCTGTGGTGCACAAGCAGCCACAAGCGATACAGAAAGGAATGGGTGTGGCTGCAAGCCAGCGAAACTTAATTTATGGTCTCTGAAACTCTAATTTTGTATGATTTTCACATGTCATGAAATACTCTCCTTTTGATTTTTCCATTATTTAAAAACATAAAGTCCATTCTTGGCTTGTGGACTGTACAAAAACAGGCTATGGACTATGCTCTCTGACTCCACGCAGGAAGACGGTGTGCTGGGTCCATGGTTTTCGAGTCAGACCCACCTCCAGATTGTAGCTGTGCCTCTCAAGGCAGGTGACAGCCTACCTGAGCCTGGTCCTCATCTGGAGAACACATTTCAGGTTGGGCCCATGGGTGCCAAGGCCTGGTACAGCGAGCAGAGCTGGGGCCACCTGGAGTGGTACATGTAGCTGGGCCGCCCTGGGTGTAGGTCCCAGCCAGGGACTGGAGGGTGAGACCTGCTGCCTCCCCGTTCCTGGTCGGCCCCTGCAGCACCCCGTACAGCAGTGTTGGGTGGTCCATGAACCCCTAGGGCGAGAGGTGAGCAGTTTTCATACCAAAAGCCTGGATTGCAGTTCTCCCAGTTGGGATTTCTAGTCCTGCTTCCAGGTCATTTCTCAAACCTTCTGGTGGAAATTAGGCTGTGGCCTTCCCCACTCTGTTGCCAGGGGAGCTCATTTCATGCAACTTTTATGAGTTGCCTCTCCCCTCCGTCTCAGAAGACTACCCCCCTTCCCTGCACTGCCCCTCCGGCTGAGCAGTTACACAATCCCCCTGCCATCTTCTTTCCACCTTTAAGACTGGACGCTACTTCTCATGTGGCCCGTTGGACCCGGGCTTGTGAGTCTAGCGCCCAGACGCCCTGCGCTGGCATAGCAGGAAAGGAAATACCTTCTTCTCAGAGTTGACGGCCCCTCTGGCCTCAGGGCTGGGAGCTGTGGCCCAGGGCAGCAGGCGCCAGGACAGCCTCTTCCCCTGCTCATCAGTCGCGGAGCACTGTTTTACGAAGCTGCACCTCAGAGGGGCCTCAGCCTGGGTGCCCGTCCCCCTCCCCTAGGCCAGCGTATGGCTCTGGAATCCGTCTTTCTGGGTCAGTAAACCCTACCTCTGCCATTTACCAGCTGGGGGGTCGGACAAGTTGTTTAGCCTCTCCTTTGTAAAACGGGGCAACTTCCCAGTTACTGTGGGGAGTGAGAACATGGCTGTGACGTCCTTAGGACAAGCTCCACTGGAGGAAGTGCCTAGTAACCGCATTACCACACTGAACAGGGTTACCAGGGAAGATACAGAACGCTTAGTTAAGTTTGAATTTTAAAAAAATTTTGGTATAATTATGTACCAAATACTGCATGTATTATGCAAATACTGCAAGAAAATGAATTTACCTGAAATTAGTTTAACTGGGTGTCATTTCCCTCCCAAATCTGACAACCCTGCCATGAGGGACCCAGGAGCCTACCTGTGCCAGCCCAAGAGCTGCCAGCCCTAGCTCATTTGCCATTGGGCTTGCACGGAAAGGCCCCTTCTTCCCTGGCTGCAGGGTGGTGGGGATTCATTGGGATCACCCAGAACGCCTGTCTCCTGCAGAGCTTTGAGTCCGAAGCCAGACCACTCTACCTGCCTCGGCTGGGAGCAAGATCTTCCTCACCCTGGATTTCCTGCTACATCTTGATTTGATTACCTTATCTTTCCAGGGGGACCAGTAATCCTAACCTCACCAGCTACTCAAGATTAGTGAGGAGACGAAGTCCAATCTAACAAGCACAGTTCTAAGCACTTAACACCAATCATTTCCACCAACCCCATCAACAACCCTGTGGGTCTGTTATAGTTATCCCCACTGGACAGGCGAGGGAACTGAGGCTTGGGGAAGGTGCAGATGTTGCTCTCCCTCCCCCAAGGCCTCTACTCCCTGCCCCAGAGCTCCTCCCTCTGTCCTATAGGCCTTTAGGGCTGAGTCAGAGCTCAGACAACAGGGCTGTCTGTGCAGAACCAACTCCAGTCATTTCATAACTGGACACGTACCACCTTCCTCACAGGAGCCAGGACTTAATTCACTCTGTCCCCTTATTTTCTGCCTCATTCCAAAGGTATCCCATCTTGTTTATGAGGTCGCAATGCCAGCCACTAGGCAGCACAAGCTGCATGTCCTGAGCACCTGCCCTTGTGCTCCAGCGCCTCAGGGCCTGGGTTTGAGAAGCCACTCTAGAACCACACGGTGCTAGTCATTGGGCCGGGTGAACCCACGGCTGACCTAAGAAAGAGAACCTTCTGTGGGTTCCAGACCCAGCAAATGAACAATAATTCTTGCAAGGGACCATTTTAAGGAATTTGACATACATGAATCAAGCATGTAGTTTTCCAGAGGGTGTGACACAACTGTTCATTTTTCCCCACTGCCAGTTTTTCCCAGCATAACTCGGTCAGATCCGGTCTCTGCATTTGCAGGGCCGAACTAGTTATCACAAAGGCTGGAGTGTTCCAACTGCAGGCCCAGTGGGATGGGGCCGTCTGGCCCCAGCTGCTCTCTGTGATTGATAATAGCTTCGCAGCCTTCTGTTCACTTTTGTTAGGCAGACTGGATGCCTGTGTCCCTCTACCCAGCAACCAAGATGCTCTGAGAACAAATGAGGTCACTTGCAGCAGACACAAATGCTGAAGCACCAGCCGACATACGAGACTAAGAGTATTCCTCTGCCCTCACATGAGGTAGGATCTACTCAGGCAGACTTTGAGGTCGAGAGTGAAACCAAGACTCTTTACTACTCCTGCATAAATTATTCTCTATTCAGGAGGGTTCCCCAAGTTCTAACTAGAGATATGTGAAACCCATATTGCTGCCTTACTAGAGAAACTATACCAGAGGGCTCTAAGGCCTACAGAACAATGTCCTGCCCAACCATCCACATTTACTGGTACCTAGATGGGGGCCCAGCAAGGGTGAGGCTGGCATGTATCCTGCTCTCCGTCTCACCAGGGCTTCAGCACTTCCCTGCCAGCCTCGTTGCTAATTTCTGACCAGCTGCTTCCGGGACTTAAGAGGAGATGCTACCCAAATCTAATGACCACAAAGTTCTCAACAAGCCTTAAGAACTTCAGCTTCGAGGCACTCCTGTGTTTTCAGGCCTGTCCCAGTCCCATGGAGTTCCAGGGTGTGTGATTTGAGGTTGGGCTCCTGGAATGGGGCTTACGAAAGTAGCGTGGTCCAGGCATAAGCTGAGTGTTCAGGCCCCTGGCCTGGGAGGCACGTTCTGTGCTGCACCCCATCCTGTGGCATCTGTTTTAACCAAATGTTCTGGTAGGTCAAGAGGAAAGTCAACCCTCATGAACGAACATTTCACGAGTCCCCAGCAGAGTGTGCAGCACGAACCGGACCCTTCGGAAAGGCAGTGGATTCTGCGCGCATATGGTACGTTCATAAAATGCCCAGGCAGTAGGAGACATCCAAGTGCCACCAAATTTCTCAAATACAAATTTGACTTTTAAACTTGTGTTTTTAAATCCAGGATTGAGACCACAGACAATTTATTATGTAAGACATGGGGTGAAGAATGATCAAGGGAAGTTATGGCTGTGAGCGACATGGAATTAGATGGAAAGGCTCAAGTTTGCTAAAGAGAGTTTAAATTTGGCTTTTGCTCTTGGAAACGTAAAAATGATCGTAAGCAGCACTTATGTCTTACAGAGCAAAGAGTCCACAGAGTGTCATTTTCATTTTGCAAACAGGGACACAACAGCAGTTCAGATATAAGCCTAAACACCCAGAGAGTTAACATACAGGTTCGGGACGATATCACAAGGGACTCGGCATGCTGGTGGGTTTGTAAATCAAATCCATATTGAACCCTGTGACCCACTTGGAGGTTCTAAGTGGAACCTGGGGAAAGCAGCTTTTCCACAAAACAAGGACAACAAAGAAAACCCAGGCTCTGCTGGATGTCTATAATACTCATGTGCAGTAAGGCTTTCAAGATACATGAACTTTTATAGCATTTGTATTTTAAGGATTTAGGGCAAATACATTTTTTTTCTACTTGATAAAAAGAAAATTAGTACTTAAAAGGTTCAAAAATATATCGATTGAGTGATTTTTTTTTTACATAAATAAATTATATTGATTTTTAGGATTTAACAGCTGAAAAAACCCTTTCTGCTTCCACTGGAGGCAAAACTGAACAAAATGTTAGTTAAATAGAGAGCAGCATTTCTAAGAAATCTGTTGTCAGCATTACAGACCATCTATGCTACAAAGATGTCCTTAAATAAGATTCGTTCAACTACTGGATTCTTCTGGTATGATCAGTTATAGAATTTCTGATTTATATCTTTTAATTCATACAACTGGGACTCCACTTTTCGAAAATACATCTGGATTGATTTCTCCGGTCACGATTTTTAACAGACTTCTTTGAGATGCTCATTTTAACATTTACATAATTTATAATCCCAAATGTATAAAAGACAATGACAAAAGCATCATAAATAAATAATGCAAACTGAAATAGTTATGTCAAACTTTTGGACCTTCTGATAAATTAGCAAAACTGTAACAGAAAAAGTAAAAAATACAGTAAATTGTGACGACAAAAAGTGGAACTGGTACTAGAACACTTCCGACATTTCCAACGGTCCTGCACAGCCCTCTGCCCCCCGCGTCCTGAACCATGAGCTTACTTCAAGTGTGAGTGTGAACTGTCGGTAAAGAACAAGACCACTGGAAAGGATGGAACACAAGTGGGAAGGACAAAGAAAATGGGGACCGGGCTGCTCAGGCAGGTTCTTCCCAGCTTGGAAGGCTGAGGAGGAGGAAAACAATAATGTGCAACCATTTCAAACTAACATGATGGTGTAGAATCTGGGTCCAACTGTAAAACATAAGCTGAACAGAGAAAAAATGGAGAGAAGAAAAAACCTTTCACAGTCGTATTATGAATGGTGGTACGCGTGTTTTGACAACCTCAAATAACTGACTACTGAGTGATTTTTCTCACAAGCTCCACAAAGAGCCCTATTCTTGGTGAGGAAAAGCACACACTGGAAACCCATGGAGAGAGGGAGGTGGGCAGGAGTGTCAGTCGTGTGCTTGTGTGCGGCGTGCAGGCCACGAGGGTGAGCGCCTCGCCCACCCTGGCCGCTGGCAGCGACTCAAGCTGTGGAGAGCTTTCTCATACTGAGAACACTCTTTTAACTCGGGAGTGGGAGAATACATATGGGTGTTTCTTTTTGCTGCAGGCGTCTGCAAAACCATGAAGGGGGAGGTCATGTTCCTACCAGTAAGGTTTGTGTTTTATAAAGAAATTAATATATGCATTTTCAACCGTCAGTTATATACTTCTGTCTATGCTACTCATTTAGTAATCATGATAAAATAGGGAAATGTGTTAACTAAAAGATACGCACCGGCACTTCCTTTCTCTGTGCTTTTGGTTCCCCCAGTACATTCTTCCCATTCAACACAGCTCATGGAAAAAAGGGCCACTCTTTGTCTCCGCTCTTCAGCCCTTCAATGGTAAACCCCTAGACAGCTTTCTTTTGCCACTTTTCCTCCTCAAATAAGTGGGAAACTTGGAAGAGAAGGGGGTAGGGCATGTCACCAAGTACTGTATTAACTACAACTGCTGGAATGGACTGGGTAACAGAATGGGAATTCAGTTCTGTGCCTCCTACACTAGGTCGACGACACTTACCTAATGAAGTGGCAAGACCCTGCCACTATGAACATCTGATGCCCATGGTTCCCAGACAGGAAATTAGGCAGGTGATATCACTTATGGAAACAGGTTCTTATGAAGGTGAAGTGAGGGAAGTAACAAACCTTTATGGGATAAGAAACTTACAAGTCACAATCATTTCTTAAATGAAAAAGTTCTAATTGGTGTCACTGGTAGAGTCTTTGAGGCCCCCTTCCCTGGCCTGGGCAGCATGTTCTCTGTCTGGGGGCCCAGGCGCCCTGGATTCAGGGTGGCCCTGCTCACTGCCTGGCCTCCTTCCGGCCGCGGGAGCAGGCTCGGGGGCGGGGTTTGGATTGTCCCCTTTCGTTTTCTTCTTCTTCCTCTTCTGGCTCTCTAGACCTATGACTTCAGAGTGTCTGGCCTGCTGCACAGCTGGCAGAGCCATGCCCATGCCAGGGGAGAGAAACATGGACGGGTAAATGAGTCCAGGAGACACTCCTGGGATGAGAAAGGGGTTAAAAGCCACAGGACTACTCGTAGTTACTGCAGGTTCAGACCGGTCCGAAAACGGACCCGGACCAGGCCTGTCTTGGGTTAATGTGTCCGTGTTCACATCATGGCTACTTGACTTGTCTTCTGCAGCCTTTTCGGTCGCTGACGCACCGCTTTTTGTTGTGCTTGACAGAGGCGATGGGGCAGTCGAAGTGCAGCCAGTGGCCATGGGAGCACTAAGCAGCCCCCCAACACCAAACATCTGGGGCACGGCGGCCATCCCTGGCAGGAGCATGGGCAGCATGCTCAAGGTGCTTTTCACCTCCTCGCCCGTGGGCATCGTGGCAAAGCCGGCCGGGAACCCCACCAGGCCTGTGAGGGGGATGCCCGGCACATTTCTCATGTTCTGAAGTCCTACCAGGTCCATCCCAGCAACCAGTCCGTTCATGAACAGTGGCCCCATTCCCGAGGGAGAGTCCGCCACGATGGCGGGAGTCTTCAGGAGCTCGCTCCGAGGCCGCCTCCCCCTCCTGCGGGGGCCTGCATCTCGAAGGACAGGTTCAGTCAGGGTGTGATTGAACTTGTTTTCTGGGAGGAACCCCTGAAAAAGGACAAAGAAACACAACATGCTGAAGGTTACTGTGTGCGGGTGACTAGCTGGGAACGATGGCCTGGCTTCCACACTGACCTGTCCGTCCCGGTTCCACAAAGGGTCCCTCTGCCTCCATGCCTGGGCAGCTCTCTGCCTAACTGCACCTAAAGGGTTGCTCCCTCGGGCCAAGAGTGCTCAGCATGCAAAGGTGCGTCCACTCTCTGGAGAAGCTGTCAGGGGCTGGCACCCAGCTGCGGCTAGCTAAAGCCCAGGTCCTAGTTGACACTCTTGTGGCTGCGACTCCTTGACCGGTACCCCACACCCATCTTTCCCGTAACACGGGAAGGAGGTTTTTAACTGAAGCACAAAGCACAGGAAGTCAGGTGGGGTTTCAGAGCACACACACCTCAGTTTTGATCCCTACTCTGGAACCCGAGCTGTGGGACTCAGGCCAAGAACTTTTCAGAGATTTGGCGAGAAAGGACAATGACACCTATCCTGTAGGGTTACTGGCAGGCCTGGATGGGGGTGGGGGGCTGGCAACATGCAGCCGAGGCCCCACCAGCCCACAGTCTCCCTGTCTTTGAGGCTCAGAGGCAGGAACCCAGCTGCACTCCGCACAGTCTGGAGGAGAGCATACTCGCAGCAAGAAAGGAGGCGCAGGTCTTGCCAAGAGACCAGAAGGGGCACGAAAACCCTTTCATTAGGGGACCAGGGATCCTAGACAATGTGGAGAAAGAAGTCAGGGAGGCTGAGGAGATCTAAAGGCTGAGACTGGCAACCAGGCCTGACAACAGATAAGCAATCTCTTCACAAGCTTCCCAGGACACCTACTTTGAACGTCAATCTCCGAGCTCAGGGTTCCCAAACAGTTCCCTTTACTGCTGCGGCAGCCCAATCCTTTGGGAGAAAAGCCGACAGGTCTTGGCTTAGGGGGCAGCTGTGGAGACGCGGTGACATGGCCCAGGTGCCCAGTGAGCCCTGAGTGCCCATGTGTGTGGACGGCTCTGAATGGGAAGCAGCTGGGATGCTGGGCCCCGGGGTGCTGGGGCGGTAACACAAGGAAGAGCAGAAGCGACGCCAGCACCACCCGACACGCATCTGCCCCGAGCCAGGCGCGACGTTCAGGGCTCCATCTCATTGTCTCATCAGTTACTGCACCCACCCTTTGGCGTCAGTACCATTACCACAGCTGTTTTCAGGGAGTTTATGGGTTCACAGGTGTGAAAAACACATACTTCAATGTTCCTGAGTACCCAGAATAGTGTTATTTTTGAAGTCCTACACATGTCCTTCGATTTCCCAAGAATGTTCAAGAAAAACCATCATCATGAACAAAAACTTTATGATGGTCCATGCTGTCTGAGGAGAAACTCCTCTCAAGAAGCCACTGGGAGGGCCTGACCCGGGCCCCTTCCATCCCCCCTTCTCGCCAAGGGAGGCGGCAGGGCTTTAGCCCTGAGGTCCTGTGGCCGCGGCCCAGAGCTTGCTGCGTGTGCGCCACCTCCACCTCTTTCCCACACGTGTGCTGCCCCTGCAGTCCACTACACTGGCTCGTGCTGGACACCTGCTCACTCTGGCTCTGGGAATGAGCACTCCGGAAGCAATCCCTGCTGCCCAGTTCCTGTTTCTAAAGCGAGAGTAGGGTTTGATGGGCTGGGGCCAGGCTATAAGCATAATTTCTCACCAGTCTAGCCTGAGGCCATTAAGGCACACTGCCTCACTCTGCCATACCTCCAAGTCTTGGGCCCCTGTTGGGCACACCCCGTGAGCCAAGGGCCCCAGCCAGGGTAACCACAGCTGGGCCACAAGGCTTTCCCAAGCCCTCTGCCCTGCAGCCCAGCTGCAGCTGAAAGCCAGGGGAAGGGGCTGGGGTCTACCTTTTTCCTTTATACCTAAAAAATTCCCTCATAGCTCCCTAGCAGGAGAGCATATTCCATCTTAAAAGTCTTTCTGTTGGGAAGAAAACCAACGCAGAGCAGAGGAATATGCCTCCATCTTACTTTCCAATGACCTGCTATACATCAGATATTCTTTAACATACTTATTTTGAGCTCATCGGGGCATTTAGGACTGGAGACAGCACATTTCATAAAAGCCTGCATCCTGCAGGACCTTTGGCCCCCCTGGCTCCGCCCACTAAGTTCAAGGCACACTCCTCAGGTATCAGGATGTCTAGAAAAAAAATGTCCCTCTATGCACTTTTGAGCCACTGATGTAGCAAGAATGCTGGGCACTTTCAGACCTGGGAACTTGCCCCAGAAGGCACACACAGGCTGCCTCTCCCCTTCAGACTGGGAAGGCAGCAGCAGAGAGGCCCAGGGGTGACGGGAACAGTTCTTCATCTACAGCAAAGCGAGAGGCATGCTGGCACAGGAAGTCGGCTCGTATCACTTCCTGTGGGAGTCCCTCTAGCCACCCAGCTGCTGCCCACCCCAGCAGCCCGGCGACCACACACAGAGGCCAAGCTGAGCTTTGGCAGCTCTCCCTCCTGGTAATTATACCCTGGGAGCAGACCTGCTTCCTCTTCCAGGGGAGGCCCAGGGAGAGGGCAAGGGGAGAGAGGAGAGGCGAGGCCGGCGTTAAGCAACACTGGAGGGAGGTGGGCTTTCCGGATGATGACCTGCGCATTCCAGCCCAGGACATCTCCATCGATACATGGTGGCATTTATTCCAAAGCCGGTGATTCCAATCCTACACCTTAACTCCTGAGAGGAGGTGGAGAAGAAGGTGGCAACTGAAGCTTCCTTCTTCCTCCCTTCCAGGAAGGTCAGGAGGTTCAGCCAACCCTCACTCACTGAGTGAAGACGCCTGACAACCAAAAGCAGGGGGGAGACCCCGATTTAAATTCCTAAAAGTAACACAAAGACAAAACAAAAGCTAGCGCTGACATTTTTGGGAAATTTGATTATGGATCAGATATTAGGTATTATTAATATTCACAGGTGTGATAATGGCAATAATTATGTAGGAAAATATTCTTACGAGATGCAGGTCAAAGTATTTAGGGTGTGATGTGTCATCTCTGCAAGGTACTGTCAAGTGGCTCAGAAAGAAACAAACATAAAAACTATACACACACGTTAAAACAAATGAACTTGCATATGTAAAATATATGAAGTGTGTGCATCCATACATTTAATAAGTGACATCCGTGATAGCAGGGTCTGAAAGCTAAAGCCCACAGGTGATGCTAGGTTTGTGGGGCCCATCCAGCTAAGCCACAGCATGCACAGCAGAAGGGGAGGAAGGCAGGAAGATGTTCCTATGGGATTTGAATCTGTTCTAGCAGAAGGGGTAGGGTCTCTACGGGAAAGAAAAAGCGTGCAGCTCACTCTCAAGGGCCGCAGTCCCAGCAAGAGCTGAGGGAGACTCAGCCCAGTGGAAGGCCGCGGTCAGGGCTGTGCTGGCTCTTCTGACTGGCAAGGCCGAGCAGCACCAAGGACCAGGTGGACAAATGCTTCCTGTTCTTGCCTTACTGCAGGAAAAGGGCCTCCAAGGCACGGACTGTGTTTATGTAACAAAGGAGGGAAAGTGCATCTCTGGTGAGAGGCTGGCTTGCAAGAACAGCTGAGAAATGGGTTTTCTGGCAGGGGGTCAGCATCTGCACAGGAGTGATGAACATTAATTTCAATTTCCAGAGAACATGAGGGAAACTGTTTGACATCTAGAAAGAAATGAGAACACTAAGGAGAAACCATGTGGGTTTTTTTGACATGTGTCTAAAGAGCTCAGAGACTAAAACAAAGCGAGAACTGGAGGTCTCCACCGGATGACTTCCCCGAGACACTGTGTGCTCAGACAAAAAGGGAGTGAGGGGAGGCGGCATGAGGGCTGAAGAAGATAGATGGGGTAAGAACCAAAGCTGAGCCAGCTTGTACAGCACGAATAGGTATAAGGAAAGGGGTGATAGGGACATTTTTATGGGAATAAAGGGGAGAGGAAGGATAGCTTTTCAGTGTGACCACCTTTCTAACAAGCAGCCCCCATGTCCCGGGCCCGGACCCAAGCCCCCCTTCCTAGCATGGCTGTGCTCGTGGATGGGATGCAGATGCTCCTGGAGCTGCTAAAGGGGCGGTCATCCAGGCAAAATCAGGAACAACCTCCTCGAGGACATTAAGTAACAGCTTCCTCCTGCATAAGGAGGAGGAAATGACTAGGGTGGGTGGTCTCTAGAGCTAAAAAAAGAAATCACATCCAGGCAATCCCACTAAGTAGGGACTTCATACCCAGGAAAGACTGTAGCTGGCAGGGCACTGAAGAGAAGGCATTCAGGAAAAGCCTGTGAGCTTAGGGGACAACCCAGGAAGAGCGTATCCCCATGAGGATCTTCAGAAGCTCCCTATTAGGGAAGAATGCACTTTTAGGAGGTTAAAAGCACATTTATGTGTAATTTGCCCAAGCTCAACGCATTTTCAGGTTGAAATGTTATTACTGCCCCCTAGAGGTTAGGAATTTTCTATTCCAGATTTGTTCTCATCTGTAAACTATAATTAACTCAGATTCGTTATACTAGAAGTATTTTAAAGATGTTTTTGAAGTCTCTTCCAGGCTCATGATTCTGTAACAGGAAAAGGGGATGCTTGGCGTCAGCTGTTTTTCATTGCCAGTGAGGATGGACTAGGAGGAAATATCTTAAATGGCAGCCAGAAAAACGTACATCAGAAAATAAAAATTTCCAATAATGAAGTTTGTTAAACACTGGAAACAGACTCCCGAGAAGAGTTAAGGTATCTTTTCCCTGAGCTCTCTACAAACAGGGGGGGAAAAAATCAAACTTTGGGAATGGTTTAAGTACCGATTCTTTGGTAAAAGCTTAAACCAAAAGTTTGAGAGGTAAAGGGTGAAGACAAACGATGGTAGAACTCACCCTGCTGCTCACAGTACCCCGGAACCACTCACCACTGCTCATCAACTTCCTGTGCTAGCCTGCGTCCTCTTGAAGAACGTGGCCACTACCCGCTTCCCAGCCGGAGCTCCCTGAGTCTGAAAGGTGCAGTCCCTCTACGACATGTCCCTCTTCCTTACCCTCAGTCCGGGATCCTTGGTTACTGCAGGAACCCTCTCTTCCCCACTCAGGGAGTTGATGTCTAACTTTCCAGGTTCCTTACAGCGTGGCCTCCTCTGCTTGGGTTTGTCTGAAAAATTCTAGGAGGCAAATGGAAACCAACATTACAAAACATTCTGTCACAGATTCTCTGCTGAGGGTGGTGTTTGCTACTTTCTCATTAACAGCCCCTCTGGCACAGGACCTGGTCAGGTCAGGTTGAAGAAAACAGCCATGGGGCCCCAGCCTAGGCTCTCTTCTATAAGCAACAGCATTCATGCAGTGAGTTGCAAAACAGGCCAAGGGCACCTCCTGGCCCTCCAGGCTCCCTGGCTCAGACTCCTGAGCTGACCCACCAGGCTCCCTGGGCACTGCTTAATCCCTGGCCTTCTCATTGTTTTCCTGGACTCTCTCCCCACTGCCAGCTGCCTGATGGGCTCTGTCTGTCTCTGGAGGGGGTGCATCTATGAATGCATTCGCCTCCTTTCCTGTGCACTCTCTACCTCTGCAGCTTACTAGTTAGGGGTACCGGAACAAAGATGGGGGGGGGCGGGGTAGACAAGCACGTGAGAGAAGAAAAACTGAGCGGCGACATCATTGCTCAGGAACCTTCTCCTCCACATTTCTCATCTGAAGGACTCGGAGCTAAGGCCGCAAGAAAACTGGAAGGAAAAGTCCCAAAACAGCAGCTGAAACTAAGACTAGATACCCTCCCTGCAAAGTGGTTATGTACTGACATCAAAAGAATGCACAGGAACGTTTTCGTGACGTGTCAGCGTGGACTTAAAGATCTCTGTCAGCTTACAATGTTGTGTGGTAATTCTGGGAGGAAATGGGGGCTGAGCAAGTTCTTTCCTTGTATGATTTTGCACGTCTACTTCCTGGCACAGTGTTCTTACATGGGCTATAATTTCTGTTATTGGAAAAAAACCCATATTTACACTTTTTAAAAAAACTCTAAAATGATGACTTCAGTTGCCACACATTTCTCTCAGACTTCTCGGTCTCCCTCAGCATGCCCCTTATCAAAAATGGCACCCAGTTAGCACAAAGTACAAACAATCTAGGCAGGACCAACGCACACTTACTGCTCCAAAGCCAGGAACATCTAAGGAGCAGTCAGCTTGCTGCCGCAGCCAGTCAAGCAGACTCTTGCTGGAAATGGCTTTCTCAGCCTGGCCGCTGACTGCTGGGGTCGGTTCGGGGGCAGAAGAGGCAGGCACTGGCCCTTCAGGGTGTGGGGTGCTCAGGGGAGCCTGCCCTGGGTCTTCATGAACTTCCTGGATGAAGGAAAACAAATATATGCAGTTAATTGCAACAGAATGAAATCTTTTAACAGGAAAACACAAGAACTTTCCTGAGGCCTCCCATCTACCTCTGCCTGCAGTTCACTCTGCTGGGGTGCTGAAGAAGGTCGCACACGAGCTCTGGCACACGCCAGGTTCTCCCCCTGAATGCTCCTCTCCCCTCGGTTACGTGATCAACTTCAACTCCTCCCATCTGCTCAGGTTCAGTGTGACCTCACAGGCGACACAGGCTACTCTGCCTCCGGCCCTGCCACAGCAGCCTCACAGGTTTTCCACATGGCAGAAACACTGCTCTGCGATTTAATTACTATTTCTCCCTCTATAGCTTGAATGCCTGTTTTAGCAATCCCTGTATTCCCAATGTCTGTAACTGGATCTACTGATTAAGTATCATGTCAGCGCTAAATAAATGTCTGCATAAAATGCTTTAAAAAAAAACACTCGAGGCCAAGGAAAAAAATTTCACCTGTCATTCCACTGACTTCTATGATCATTATAGAGAAACTATGGATTTGCATCTCTAAAAAATGAGACAACCTTTCTTAAAAGATGGTAGGATTGGGCAGGAAAGGAACCTGCCCCTTCAAGCTCCCCAGGTTATGTAGAAAGCATGAGAGAGACATACACCAAGCAGTGCGGCTTAGCATCACAGTTCTTCAGGCTCTAGACAGCAAAGCCCATGGTGTAGTTCCCTCATCTGGTACTTACTAACTGTATAATCTTGGGCAAATTAATGCTGTAAGCCTCAATTTGCTCATCGATAAAATGGGAATAGTAATACCCTCAGACGTTGTTGTGAATCAAACAGGACAACCAAGTAAAACCCTGAACACAGTGCCTGGCACACAGTAAGCATACAACAAACACTCGTTATTATACCTTTTAAATAAGAAAACATGAAATATGGTCTCTGTTTTGGATTTCAAAGTTCAACAGGGGGGAAAAACCAAAATACAAAGAGAAGGCAGTGGTCTTTGATACATTATAGCAAAGTCTAAGGGGACCTTTCTTGGCCAGGTATGTAGTTTCTGATCTTTTCTGTTATTTACAATGATCTCCTTTGAGTTAAGAATGTCTTAGTGTGATCTTGGTGAATCCTTGAGCCCCGTCTGTGGTAAATGTTGCGGCCCCTGCTTTACAAAGAAGCAAAGCGAGGCTGGGTGGTGTGCCCAAGGTGGTCGACGCAGTAGACCAGGGTCAACATTCAGGAAGCCCTGACACCTGTTCCTCCTCTCCTGACTCTAGCTCCTGAAAGGCCCACTAACCTGGAGCAATGCTAACACAAACTCAACTCCGCTGTCTCGCTTTACCCATCAAATCACCAGTGGCTGTCCCGAAACACTGGAGCATTTGGGTCCTTTCTATTTCTCCAGATTGCATGCAGATTACGGGCCCTTAACGGATGAACACCTATCTATTTCTAGAAAAGACTGAGGTCAACTTATAATGAGAGAAATTTAGTAGGAAAACTGAAAAAGAAACAAAAGATCCACAAATCAAAAAATTTTGTGATTGAGCAAGAAGGGTCTGTTGCTCAGGATAGAGAGAGGTCAAAAACTCACTTACTGGCCTCATATACCCACCAAGATTCCTGCCTGAAGTGTTTGCTCCTTCAAAAAGATGAGGTCCATCCCGCCTTCCACATGTTTCCGCCTCCCTCTCCGCCTCCTTGTGGCAGTGTCATCTCTTCTAAGGCTCCCATTGACGATCTGTCCCGTCACTGGATGGATCAGGCCAGCTTGTAGAATCCCAGACAAGTCCATGCCAAGGGCTCCTTGAAGTGAACCGATAGCCCCAATCTTAGGGGTGCTGGCACTCACTGGGAAGGGGGGTGTAGCTCCTGGGGACCCCTCTGATGTGCAGGAGAGGTCTATGGCTGACTCCCCATGCCAGCCATTGAGGACAACGGGGGGATGCCCATGGGTGGCAGAGAACTGTTCCAGGCTCCGAGCCTTTGTATCCCTCTCCACTTCAAACTCGAAAGGACGTCTGTGCTTTTGATCATCCTTTGTGAATACTGGAGCCAGGAAGCTCTCCTGCGAACACACACATTTGGCAAGAGAGGTTTGAATGCCACGTCTGTGGCTGAATGCCAGCTCCTTTTCCACAACTGATTTCCTTGGGCTTCGTATGATTTCTCATCATCTTACAAGTTCTTCTAATTCAAACCTTCTCAAACTTCAGTACTGTAATCACCTGGATAGCTTGTTAAAGTATAGATTCTACGTGGACCTGAGAATCTGCATTTGTAACAGATGCTGCTAAAGCTGCTAGTCCAAGAATGACACTTGGAATTGAAAGACTGTGGAAGTTAGGGACTCTCAACCTCAGCTATACATCAGAATCAATTGGGGAGTTAAAAAAATTCCAATACCGAGTCCATACCTTGAATGAATGAAATCAGAATCAGCAGCTTTTTGGGATTCCAGTGGATTCCAACGTGCAGTTTGAGAGTAAGAGCCAGTGTGCTAACAATATATCTCAAATTAAACTTGAGTTTATAAAACTCAAAGAAATCTCACTCCTGCTTTGATTTGCCAAATTTCTATCAGCTGCCATCATTCTCTCAGTCCTGCAAGTGTTGGGCACACTGATCCATGCATGCTTCCCTTTCCTTACATGTTTACTAGCCATCAGTCATCCTTGCCACCTTCCCCCTTTCTCTGCATCCACTCTGCCACTGACCTGGCCTGGAACCCTCTTCTCTTCCTCAGCTCCCTTCTTGGCCTCCCAGCCTCTGAGTCACCTCTCTTTTCTGACCCCCATCTTCCACGAACCTACATGCTACTCCAGGAGAGTTGCAAAGCCCTGCTTTCATCATGCAGTTCCCCACTCTAAAACTTTTAATAGTGCTCTGCTGCTTACAGGGTAAAAGCCAAATTCCTCAATTATCACTAACGGCTTTACCAGCAGAGCAAAACAAAAATCCTATCCAATCAGTAAATGTATTTGTTGAATGAGTAACTCAATCAAGGAGTCAAGGGTCCCCCTGCTTTGTTTCGCAGTCAGCACCCTCCTCATGGCCTCACCTTCTGGATCTGGGCCACCAGTGCTGCACCGTTGCTGAAGCTGTGTTCTGCTGCTTCCGGCTCCGCGAGGCTGCTTCGAGGACCGGCCCTGCTGGTTAACACGGGGGTGGGCAGTGGGCCCGAGGTCTCATACTGCTGGCCGGAGGGCCACTTCCCCTTTAACACTACGTGGCAGATACTATCTAGGCGGTTGATTATCACTCGATCCTATAAAAAAGAACGAACAAGGCTCTGAGGAAGAAGGACCAAGTTACCCAAAGTTACAAAGTTACTCATGTTGCAAAGTACCCTGAGATCAAGTGTTAAGTTTTCTAACCAGAAGGAGTTGACTAGAAAAGAGCACGTGCAAGTGTACTCACTTTACTGGTCTTAAAATAAAAGTTAGAGTCTGGACAATGAAAATTAAACACAGTGCTATAAGTAAGAATTTGATGATTTTTGCCTTACGGTCTGATTAGTCAAGTACAGGTATCCTTAATGTTCAAATATTACATTACTACTGCACTTTAAAGAGAGTATTTCTCTGTCATTCACAAATAATCTAAAAGGTTTAACATTTAAGGACTCAAAGCTGAAAATGCCTTGGGCAGAGAATACACACGCTGGGAGGTACCTTTGGCCACTCGGAGAAGGAATAGAGGGTTTTCTCCTGGAGCAGCTGAGCAATGGTGGGAGCCCGCGTCTCCTGGAGATCGTCCCCTATGTCCCCTGCAATGCCCGAGGTCGAGCTCTTGCTCTCCTCTTCGGAGTATTTCCCTGGATAATCTGGGAAAAAAGGTTAAAATCATTAATTAGGCACTTGGGAGATGGCAGCGATCTGATCTCTCTTTAATTAGCCCAGTCCACGCTAACTTATTTTAAATTGGATATTAATTACCATGTCTGGTATTTCCAGAAGAACTATACCAGTTAAGCCGTAAGGCAGATCCTGCTCCGGGGCTGCCCAGGCTAGTCTTCTGATAAGAGTTTGCAGCCACAGCCCAGCAACAACAAAAGGCAAGAGAGAGGATATTCCTTTGTGTATCCAGGAGAGGAGATGCATGACCACAAAGAGGCTTTTACGTCTGGCACAGCGGATGAGAGGACACTGAACATAATACCTTGATACTCTGCAGAGGCAGTCTAAGGGCTGTAACACAGCAAGAAGCTGACTAATGATGAAGGATGAGAAGTCCCGAAACTTTCAACAGAAGTAAAACAGACCTGATTCATGTAAAAAATGATGCAAAGAAACCTAGAATATTTAAATTATTTCACTGATGGAAAGAAATGGAAATACCACTCATTCTTTCAAGCTTCAGTGGTGAGCTTCAAGCTTTAAGCTACACATCACTATTAACGTGAAACGGATCTTCAAGGATGTCTATCCTCTGAAATGTGGAGATGTCACTTTGACTCTGCAACACATCTCCTAGAGAGCTACAGAGACCATTCACCATGAACAGGGCCTTGCGAGGCCGGTGGATTCAAGGATAAACAAGAGAGAGGCGGCCCTGGCCCTCGGGCTTCTATAGTGCTGGGGAGGGAAGACAGGAAAACAGCCGTTAACTACAGTTATAAACTGCTGTAAGTGCTAGAAAGGGAAGGAAACAAGGTGCATGGTAGGGTAAGAGGAGCAGCCTGTGGACAGAAAGGAAGGCTGGGAGAGAGAGCCTCTCGAAGGGCGTGACAGTCAAGATGAGGAAGGGTATTCTGACATGCTGAGGAACTGGGGGACAGAGCCCCAGGAAAAGCACAAAGATGAGGTCAGAGGGGTAGAATCATCTGGACCATGCTGAATCCTGTAGGCCCAAAGAGAAAATCTGAACTTTGTGAGAGGTCCAATGCGAAGCACCACTGGAAGGTGTTAAGTAGAGGAACTGGATAATGTGTGAGAAAGCACTGGCAAAGAAACCAGGTGGTCTGGGGGTGCCCTGCCAACTGTAAGGATAAGTGCTCCTTCTGCTGCAGATTTCTAGTTTCAGGAACAGAGCTAACTGCCCCCAGCCCTATTCCACATCTCATGTATACGGAGGATCTTTTCTGAGGGCTGCAAAAAAACCTTTAAAAGCACTGACACAAGGGACCCCCACACACGAGTGTGCGAAGCTCCCCAAGCCCACTGTTGCCTTCCACCCCACCTTAGCAAGGCTGACGCTGCCACTAAAGGGTATCAGCACAGGCACACTTCTTCTCTAAGCCCTATTCTTCTACCCTGCACCCCTGACTGTCTGGCTTTCCACGGACTGATTACTTGATTTTCCCCACACTGGAATTAAAAAAGCCATGTGGGGGGTTTATCATTTAACACATGGCAGCGATCCTTTGGGGTCTGGGGTGAGGAGGAGGGGTCTGGTCCTAGACTGGCTCCTCCTGGGACAGATGGGGCGCCAAGCCCATCAAGCTACCTTCGGTTCAGCTTCTCTGCACTCGTCCTAGCTAGTGGGTTCAGAACCCTTCCCAAGATAATCACTAACCACAATGACTAAGACCAAAGGTGGGGAGTTTAAAAATAAAAGGAAGCTCGATAAACTCGGGGACACTTAGCTCAGCTCCTCTCTCTCATTCCCTCTTTAATATAGTCACTGTCCCAGAACGAGATGCTGTGTCTGTCTTAGTCCCTGGGCACTACACCTGGCGTCAGGCCAGGCATGGACAGGCTGTTGGGTTTTTTTCTGATAATGACAAGAATAAATAAAAACTGGTTTCTGTTCACCCTATTACACCCTCTTGAGTCTGAGGAAATAAACAGAACACTGAAAAAGTTAAAAGCCATTTGCTGTTGCTCAGGATCTCTGATCATTTTATTTATGTTCCTTCAAAGCATATAAACATCTCTGGGTTATCTAGATTCTTAACATTTTAAGATTCCTTCTAACTTGAACACTTATTTAAGATTTCCCTATTAAAAAGGTCAGATCTACTTGTATTTTTATTGAGTCACTTGTAATTTTGATTTCTGCTGGGTTTCTAAAAGGAATTTAAACCAAATGTACAAACATGAAGTAACAGGGGTTTGACAATGACACAAATGACACTAACGTGGCTCACCTTAATAAAGACCAGTTATTTGCATTTCTGTGGTTCTCAAAAGCTTAACTGCAGCTATATTAACCTGTTCGCAGGCTGTTTCTATTTTAACCAGTTCGAAGCACCTCGCCTCGTGGAAGCAGAGATGGCTTCCCTGTGATGCCGTACCCAGCACCTGCCAGATGAAAGCACACAGCCCTGCCCACATCACATGGCTAATGCAGCAAAAGAGCAGGCTGTCTACAATCATCCTCAATTTCCTAGGATGAACCAGAGTTGAGCTACTCTGTCCCATTTTCAGACCAAGGCCTGTGACCTTTGGTTTTAAACTACAAGAAGTGCAGGCAGGTGTGTTTCAGGAGCTCCAAATCTCCTAATCCTCCCTCCTTGCTTCCTGTCCATCACGTGAGAGCTGCATATCCAAAATACAAGATCACACGTACTGTACCTTGACTACGGCAGTTTCCGTCTCTATCATAATCATCTTTACTCTCAAAATCCGTGTCTTCTGACTTGGGCTCACTTCCTTCGGGATAGGTGGGGAAACCTTTTTTCCCCTCTGCACTTTCTTTCCAAGTTTCTTGCAGAAGTTCATGCTTCACTTGAAATGGCTCTGGTGGAAGAGCAGTGGGCTCGGCCTCCACTGTGATATTATTAGTTCTGCTTTCATACAGGTCTGGGTAACCACCCTTGGGTCTCTCCACTTCGAGTTCGTCATTTTCAAGGCTGTGCATCCACCTCCCCATGTGTTTGCAGTGACACTGACAGGCTGCTTCAGGAAAAGCCCCCTGCAGCCCAGGGTTCTGGCTCGCAGCCCCCAGGCTTCCTTTCTCAGCTGCACCTAGTCGGGAGCCTCGGCTCTTCTCCCTTGGGATATTAGCAGTGGGCTCGGTTAGATGCAAAACCCCTGGCCTGTCCCTCATGCCTGCCGCCAAGTCTAAGTTTTCCTCCTCATTTTCCTCCTCTTCCTCCTCTTCATCACTGTGGTTCTGACTCAGAATCAATTTACTTTCAAAACTATTGTTTTCTAATAAATCGATTAATTGCTGATCTGATGACAGGTTTCTTTTAGAGTCACAGATACTAAGATTGCACATATCTACAAATCCACTTTCGTTTCCTGGATCCAAGGAAGGGGAGGCTAAGCATTTGGCTTCTAGCTGCCCGATGCTTTCAGGCATCTGCCCCGTCTCACTGCGGCAGAGCTCCCCTTCCTTTGAGAGAGACATCAGCAGATGTTTTCCATTTCTAATGTTCATTTGAGCTACGCCTGCTTCTAAACTACGCATGAAAGAGGGGTCTGAAGCTATTTCTGCCTCCAGGCCTCCAGGCTGGCAGCCCCTATCTCTGCTTGCTAAGTGGGCACCAGCATCTCTCCTGGGTTCTGTGTTGGTAGTTGGGCTCTGCTGAAAAGGGTCTGGCTCTCGGTTGGGTACCTTCCTGCCACACATTATGCTCTCCAAAGACTCAGGCACCAGACTTCTGTCGTGAGTGATGGAAATGACATCCTGAACTTTAGCAATGAAGTTTTCACAAGTCACACCAGATAAGCTGCCCCCAGGAGGGCTGAGATGATCATCTCTACCTTCTGGTTTCACTAGATTCTCGGATTCGTTTTCAAGGGACTCTGAAGTTCTCCTCATCTGAGTATATCTAAGCGATTCATACAGTTTGGAGTTGGTCTGGTAAAGGCAACAGAGACTTTCTGGTGCCTGGGTGTCAGCTCTTTTATGCTGGGCATAGTTTCTATAGGCATCCAAGAAGGACAGCTGGGGATCGGTCATGATGTAGTAATCGGTGCGGTTCAGCCCATGCTTGGCGGTGCCGATGAGCAGGTCTCGATCATGCTTTCCACACTCCCACCAGACCGGGAGGTAGAGGCTGGGCCTGCAGAGCTGCAGGCGTTCATGCAGCTGAGGACACTTAAGCACCTGCTCTCGGACCTTCCTTAACAGTTCAATGCGGTACAGAGTTCTTGCAGCCCGTTCCTCAGTGATGGGTTCAACATAGATGGTGGGATCTGGCGGACCTGGAAAGGAGAACACAGCGGCATCCCTCAAGTACCCTGACATTTGTTGCCCACCTGAGCCCCTGCACCTTGGGCCTAGCACTTTAATTCCCTGGTTCCTCAGCATGGCAGCCTGAGGTGTGTGTGCCCCTCCTGAAATGAAGAGCTAGAAGAGAATGGGAGGTTTTTTTTTTTTGATTTTTTTTTTTTTTGAGAGGGCATCTCTCATATTTATTGATCAAATGGTTGTTAACAACAATAAAATTCTGTATAGGGGGGTCAATGCTCAATGCACAATCATTAATCCATCTCAAGCCTAATTCTCGTCAGTCTCCAATCTTCTGAAGCATAACGAACAAGTTCTTACATGGTGAACGAATTCTTACATAGTGAATAAGTTCTTACATGGTGAACAGTACAAGGGCAGTCATCACAGAAACTTTCGGTTTTGATCACGCATTATGAACTATAAACAATCAGGTCAAATATGAATATTTGTTTGATTTTTATACTTGATTTATATGTGGATCCCACATTTCTCCCTTTATTATTATTATTATTTTTATTTTTAATAAAATGCTGAAGTGGTAGGTAGATGCAAGATAAAGGTAGAAAACATAGTTTAGTGTTGTAAGAGAGCAATTGTAGATGATCAGGTGTGTGCCTGTAGACTATGTGTTAATCCAAGCTAGACAAGGGCATTAAAACATCCACGGATGCAGAAGATTCCTCTCAAAACAGGGGGGGGTGAGGTTCTAAGCTTCATCACTGTTGATCCGAGAATGGGAGGTTTTCATGAAACAAGGACAGACCCAGTGAGGGTGAAAGAACAGCATAAAAATGGCAGTTCTGGAAATAATACAAGTTTCCATTCAATAAGCATGTACTCGGTGTCCTCTATGCTAGGTACTTTATATATGCTATTCAATTCTCACAAAAACTCTATAGCATACCATCAGGGTCCCTGTTTTAAGGATGAGGAAGGAGGCTCAGATAGGCTACCCTGCTCAAGATGGCAGAACCTGGATTCGAGCCCAGGGTGAGCCCCGTGTAACTCCAAGGTCCAGATCTTTCAATCTATCCAGCTCCCTGGTTTCAACAATAACCCTAACCATGCCCTGTGGGGTCCAAAATTGTTCTGTGTACACTGCCATCAGCTCAGAACCCACACCGGGTAGGCTCAATGTGTTTCTGCTTTTCTAAAATACAGTCATGTGGTCCAGAGCAAGTTTATCTTCAAATATGGGACTAAAGAGGGACTAGGAGGTGCTGCTGAAAATCCCAACGAGGAAGACATTTCTCAGAAGGGGTCTCTATCAGAGCAGGGGACTTAAAGTGACAGCCACTCACTTTCTATAGCTACAAGTCAACACATGAGAAAAGAGTTAAAGTTACTAAGGTTTAATCTAAGGAAGGTGCAACATTCACAGTAGGATAAATCTCTATGAGACTTTTAAAAATGTAAGACTGTACCCTGGAAACGGTAATTAACAGCAGTTTCTCGACATTTCTGTGAGGTTTTGATCTGAATTTCAGTTTTTTTTTTTTTCATTATACCTCGGGAGAGAAATGTCACTCTATAGGGGTGGACCCAATTACGAGTTCATGAATTTGTGGAAACCCACTTGTCTTTACCGGACCTCTTCGATTCCACCTTTATAAGTAATCCTGTACCTTACGCATGAGCCAGTTTTTGCCTTGCTCATCTGGGATATACTGACAGAGTTTTCTCACCACCATCTTTCCACGTGGGCAGACGACAGACGTTCCGGCACATGGCCACAAAACTGTGGAAGTAGTGCCCAAGGCTCTCATCCGACTTCTTGTCCAAACGGGAGATGAGGCGGAACTGCGTCCAGTCGAAAGTTTTCTTTTCTTCATCATAAACAACACCAAAGGAAGACACAGTTCTGTAGAAGTCGGCTTGTTCTCTCCTAGTCCACCTTGAGATTTAATCAGAAAGGGAGAGTGAGCTGTTTTTCCTTAAAAAAAAAAATTAATAATCTAACAGTACTTACTGAGCACCTACTCGGAGAGTTTGTGAAGCCAAGAAAGGAGGCAGAGCTGGTTTGTCTATTTTATCATTTCTTTTTATCTAAGTTAAATTGGGCTGAGGCTTATAACAAAAGTAGACTATTTTCCTACTATATTTTCAAACCTTCCAGCTTTTTCTTCTGGTATTTTACCTTTCTGTTTCTAAATCATGTGTGCATACTTGCTATCTCGATTCATCAATTTTAGAAATCACCTAGTAGGATAAAGATTTTATAAATAGTATAGACACTTAAATATTTTGCCGTATTTTCTCCCCCCTATAAAACAACATAGAATCATAGAATCCTGGACAGACCTTCTAGGCCACTAAATTCACCTCCTTCATTTTACAGATAAGGAAATGGGTCCAGAAAAGGGAAGTGCTTCCCTCTGCCACCCACCAACCTGGACCCCTAACTCACACTGGCCGTCTTCTTGGTTTTACAGAGGCAGGTTACCCACTATCAGTTATCTTCCCTGAGATACAAGGTTCTCTAGTCTTTACATCCTGCAGGATTAAGATGGTGACTTAAGGGAGCTGGATACTTATATACCACCACAGTTTTAATGAAAGGCTCCTAGGCATGGTCCTCTCCTCTCCCAGAGGGTCAGGTTAGGAGTGGAGCAAGGCAGTGGGTGGGAGTGAGAAGCATGGCAGAAGGGGCACTGGCTCTTTTCTTTGGAGCCGTGAGAGATGGGAGATGCTTTTTCCCTGAATTACTAAATCTCATAAAGGCAGGAGTACATGGAAGTCAATGAGTTTGCTCTGTGGTGTTCTTTTAATTCATTGGATGTTGTATCAGAAGCTGGAGAGACAAAGACTCAGGACCTGCAGCTTCATGATGCTCTGGTGGCATCGTTACTGGTCTGCGTCAGCCCTCCGTTGCTCGGATGGGCAAGTAACTCCTGCTGACTATGCACTCCCTTTGCGCTGGCATTTTATGGTACTTACTGTTCTCAAAGGCTTGATAAGGACTGACAGCTATAATAACTCAGCTTCAATGCATACTATTCACTTTGCTGCTCAAACAGCATGGCCTGATATAAGCCAGTGTGATGTTTTTAGACCACATCCCCAGAGACTGGAGTCCAACTTAGGTAAGAGGGTCAAGTTGGAAAATGGTTAAGTCTGGGAATTGTGAACAAAGGTGTCCTAGATCTCTGATATCAGATTCCCCAGGCAGCATGACAATACCCAACTGGTTTAATTCTGGAGCTCACTTGACTTCACACAAGAACATTAAACACACTTGCCCTCCAGCTAGCTGTCTGCTCCCCCTTGGTCACATTTACCCAGTGGACAGCTCAGCATGCCCTGATAGGCACTGGCTTTACCTCTTTTGAGCTTCCTTGTTGATGAGCTCCATTTCTGAGGTCCTCCTGAACATCTCTTCCTGGACCCAGTATCCTTGGTTACCTGGCCCCAGAACTTCAGGCCGGCAGAGTTCCTTGCGGTTGCAACGCTGGTAAATGGTGACCAGTCGTCTAAGCCGAGCTGTGAGAGCAGACGGAACTGGCCAGGGCGCTCTGTCTGGGTCGGAGCCATCCTGGGCTTCAAACACCAGTGAGAACATTAGTATTTACAAACAGAACCAAAACAAAGGCGTCTGCTGGCAAACTCCGTAACTTAATCAACTCTGGAGCTAGGTGTAGCTGGAAGGGCTGCGATTTTGTTTAGAAACAGCTTTAGGTTACAGTTGGCTGTGTAAATCTCTCAAATACAAATGTGCCTGTCTGTGGGGACAAAACTGATCTGAGGACCTTGCTCTAAGGCATGAGAACAAGTCGACCCTCTATGGACTTCTCCATATACAACTGTGGGCTTGTATGTAGCTGCGTCTTGCAACTGCCAAAGACCCTATTAAGTTTGAATTTAGAAAAACAAACAGAAATACCAAACCAAATCAACCCCCCTAAGTTTTCTCCAAAAAGAAAATTAAATAAAAAAACGTTAAAAATCATTGAAACCATGATTCCTTTTTCTCCCTCAAACTCCATCCTGACTTCAGGTGCCATCACTGATTTCCCTTTCGGGTTTCAATGCCAGGTGGAAGAAGCTTGCCTGAGCCGCATTGAAGCTCCAAGTGTGACTCTAGGAGAGTTTGATGACGGTCAACTTCCTTGGCTTTTAAAAAGAACCTCCTTATAAAACAGCACTTTTTTTACATATGAACTCCAGGGTAACTGCAAACTAGGACCTTTTTTCCTTTTCCTTCAGAAGGACACAGTCTCACCTGCCCGGCTGTCATCTTTCTTTTCGCCAAAAATGCCATCACCTCCATCACCAGAACTTTCCTAGGGATAAATGAAGCCACGCCATCAGCAGAAGTGCATCTCAGAACAAACCCCCCGATAGTCCCTGCAGGGCAGTAAACATGCACAGAGGTATCTCCTGTTCATGAACATCTCGGAGGCCAAAGCAGTCCCTGATGAATAAAGCTTACTTACGCATAGTTATCAAGGAGCCAGAAAGCACTTTGTTTAAATAAGCATTTTCCCTGGAACTGTGTGGAATGATTCTGCTGGTATGGAATTACGTTAAAGAATGATGGACTGGCATCCTCTCCTTAGTAATTACATTTTACAAGCACTATTGTGGTTTGAATCTAAATATTTGCTTGACCATCATCACTTGCAATACTGTCATTTCACAAAGGTTGTGCCTGCATTTTTGTTTTTTGCTGTGAAAAACCATCATGCTCATTTTCATTAGTTACCTTACTTCACAGCAACAGACACTATTTTCCTAAAACATAACTGCTCCAGACATGAGAACCGATGGCGCAAAACCCCAGGAATTTAAAATTAAAATCACAATACGAGGTTCCAAGTGTATCTGGAGTAACATCACAGGCACAGAGCTTATCCAAGTTGAGCATTTGTCAAACTGGCTCTAATGGATTCCTTTAAAGACCTATTTTTGGTCTCAGGAACGGAACTTTTAAAAAGCTCCTTATAGGATATGGCAGGTGGGAGACGGGGGGTTGGAGAAAAGATAGTACTACTTTTTAACTAGCTCCATTTTTAACATGAAAATTTATTGTGTTTTTAACTAGATATTTTAACCTGAGTGATAGGAGGGAATAACCCTGGGATTCAAGACTTTGGCCACGTTAGAGCACAGGGTCAGATGGGATATAAGGGTCAGCAAACTGTGGTCTGCAGACTGTTTCTGTGTGGCCCTTAAGCTAAGAATTATTTTTACATATTTGAAGAGAAGAAGAAGAAAAAGAAGAGGGATGGGGGAGGAGAAGAGGGAGAGGGAGAATATACAACAGACTGTATGTGGTCCCTGGCCTAAGATATTCATGATCTGGTCCTTTACAGCATTTGCTGCATCCTGGACCAGCACACACAGGACAAGAAAATACTAACAGAGGTTCAGCAGGAATGGATGGACACCTACAACTGGCAATAGTTAAAATTCAAACCACCTTCTTGGGCCCTTAATTCCATGGAAGGATCTGAAAGGGAAAACTGAAAAGGCAAAGAGGGGCAGGGGTGCATTTTCTGAATGTAGTTCTTTCTTACTAGAATAGTGGTAAGAGGGACACGACTGAGAACTCTGTGCTACTGAAGCACTGTGCAAATCCCTTCGTGTGGCTGACCTCATTTAGTTACCAGAACTGCCTCAGGAGGTAGAAAATACTACTATGCTCATTTTACAGATGCAGAAGACAAGCCCTAGAAAGGTTCTGTAACTTGCCCAAGGTCACATGGCTAGCAAGTGGCAGAGCTGGGTTTCAAACACAGCAAGTCTGAAGAGAGCCTAAGCTTGCAACCACAAAGTTATCCAGAAAAGAGCATTTGGGTTGACAATTTGCTTTCAAGAATAAACAGGTCTGGGGGTGCCCTGCCAACTGTAAGGATAAGTGCTCCTTCTGCTGCAGATTTCTAGTTTCAGGAACAGAGCTAACTGCCCCCAGCCCTATTCCACATCTCATGTATACGGAGGATCTTTTCTGAGGGCTGCAAAAAAACCTTTAAAAGCACTGACACAAGGGACCCCCACACACGAGTGTGCGAAGCTCCCCAAGCCCACTGTTGCCTTCCACCCCACCTTAGCAAGGCTGACACTGCCACTAAAGGGTATCAGCACAGGCACACTTCTTCTCTAAGCCCTATTCTTCTACCCTGCACCCCTGACTGTCTGGCTTTCCACGGACTGATTACTTGATTTTCCCCACACTGGAATTAAAAAAGCCATGTGGGGGGTTTATCATTTAACACATGGCAGCGATCCTTTGGGGTCTGGGGTGAGGAGGAGGGGTCTGGTCCTAGACTGGCTCCTCCTGGGACAGATGGGGCGCCAAGCCCATCAAGCTACCTTCGGTTCAGCTTCTCTGCACTCGTCCTAGCTAGTGGGTTCAGAACCCTTCCCAAGATAATCACTAACCACAATGACTAAGACCAAAGGTGGGGAGTTTAAAAATAAAAGGAAGCTCGATAAACTCGGGGACACTTAGCTCAGCTCCTCTCTCTCATTCCCTCTTTAATATAGTCACTGTCCCAGAACAAGATGCTGTGTCTGTCTTAGTCCCTGGGCACTACACCTGGCTGTTGGGTTTTTTTCTGATAATGACAAGAATAAATAAAAACTGGTTTCTGTTCACCCTATTACACCCTCTTGAGTCTGAAGAAATAAACAGAACACTGAAAAAGTTAAAAGCCATTTGCTGTTGCTCAGGATCTCTGATCATTTTATTTATGTTCCTTCAAAGCATATAAACATCTCTGGGTTATCTAGATTCTTAACATTTTAAGATTCCTTCTAACTTGAACACTTATTTAAGATTTCCCTATTAAAAAGGTCAGATCTACTTTTATTTTTATTGAGTCACTTGTAATTTTGATTTCTGCTGGGTTTCTAAAAGGAATTTAAACCAAATGTACAAACATGAAGTAACAGGGGTTTGACAATGACACAAATGACACTAACGTGGCTCACCTTAATAAAGACCAGTTATTTGCATTTCTGTGGTTCTCAAAAGCTTAACTGCAGCTATATTAACCTGTTCGCAGGCTGTTTCTATTTTAACCAGTTCGAAGCACCTCGCCTCGTGGAAGCAGAGATGGCTTCCCTGTGATGCCGTACCCAGCACCTGCCAGATGAAAGCACACAGCCCTGCCCACATCACATGGCTAATGCAGCAAAAGAGCAGGCTGTCTACAATCATCCTCAATTTCCTAGGATGAACCAGAGTTGAGCTACTCTGTCCCATTTTCAGACCAAGGCCTGTGACCTTTGGTTTTAAACTACAAGAAGTGCAGGCAGGTGTGTTTCAGGAGCTCCAAATCTCCTAATCCTCCCTCCTTGCTTCCTGTCCATCACGTGAGAGCTGCATATCCAAAATACAAGATCACACGTACTGTACCTTGACTACGGCAGTTTCCGTCTCTATCATAATCATCTTTACTCTCAAAAT